CATAGCACGTTTTTTTTTTTCCTCCCTGGCGGAAACGGGCTTCCATAGAAAAGGACTTTAAAGGTTTAAAATTCAAGACAAAGAATTTGTAATCTTTGTTATTTTAATTTGAATGCCTTTGAAAGCTTTTTACCGAGTTTGTTACAACATGTGCATTACACTTCACTAGCTGACCACTAGATGGTAATAAAGAGTCTATTATTTTGACTGGCTCATGTAAATAGAGATCAAAGTTGTTTTTTCCATTGTGTATATTTTTATACTGCTCTGTTGACAGCACTGGAGAACAGAGCTGTTATGCAAGTGAAGAACAGATGTTGTTTTAAAGCAAAGGAAAATACATGTGACATTTCCTCTTACAGAGCAGAAGGATGCTTATTTTTTATTTTATTTACTGAGGCAAGTGCTGAATATTTCACATGTATGACTTATAATTATTTTTATTTATTACCTTTTTGTTTAAAAGTCTTTTTAGTGTACCTACAGATGCTGTACCTACAGATACCTAGAGTTATGTAGCCCTCTCACAATCATCACAATAGATGAAACTGCACACAGTTGCTTGACAGACTGTACAGCACACATGCAGGTTGGTTGGCATTAGCTGTTGACCACCCATGAAGTCAGAAAACAACATGAGCAGCACAGTACTGGTAATCTACCTTAGAAATTCATTTATCTCCTCATATTGAAGGACTCATTATATTTAACTTCTCATTCAACAATTCTACAAAGTGAAACTGTTTTGAAACCTGCGAGAGATGAAATTGCTTAAATATTGTAAATGGTTAGTATAAAAAATAGAATAACTTGGAGATCCATTCTGTTTTTAGTTCTAGTTATCTGATCAAATAAATTGAACCACCAGACACAGATAGTAACTGTGAAATTTTATTTTCATTTACAGAGTTAAAAACATACAGTTCTAGGTACTCCACAACAAAGGCACAAAAAGTCTTGATTCTCTAACTGAGCTGTTAAAGGTCAGAGCTGTAAGACTCATGCACCGGCCTGTATGATGTAGAGAACCCTAATAGTATGTCTCTTTCTCCACCCAACCTGAAAAAAGAACAAAAAATATATTATTCTTTCAAATTTCCACTCATGTGAAAAGTTACCCCAAACCCAAAGAACAAAGACCATAGGAAGACTGCAAAAAAGCCAGACATCTGAGTCAATCAGGTACTCCCGAAATGTATTAACATCACATAAAAAGTACATAATAATAAACACATAAAATATTGGAACCAGCTGCATTTGTTGCATGTTCAGTGCCACTCATTCAATGAGGTTATTGAATATACTCCCACTGCAGATTAGCCATTCGGGTCTGCGATTTCATGGTGGCAATAAGCTTCGTCAGAAGCCAGTTAGCCACCAATCGCTTAGACGTTCTCAGTGAAACCCTCGAATTACTGTACGTGTCTGGTCAGTTCTGCTCGTTAGTATTACTCTAACGTACAGCAGGGGCAGAAAGTAATGCCAAGAAAATTGAAATCTTGTGTTCTCACTCACCTCCTGGACAGCGTCGGAGGATGTATTTCCGGATCTCGTCATAGACGAAGATGAAGAGAGCAAAGGGAAAGGGGCAGAACCACCAGTGGGGCCTGAAAAGGAGTAAAGAATCTCTAGCAGCACGTATGGAGGCAGTACTGTCCACTCTTGAATATTACGGAGATGGTCACGGACAATTTGAAAGTTAGAATTAGAGTCCCATGTAAGCAAGAGTCTGGTTACACAAAGTACTTTTTGCCACATGTTCTGTTGCCCATGGCTTTCAATATAGAGCATTTCTAAATGCAATGTATTCAGCATTACACATCGGTGACAGCAAGTACAGTAATACTAATTAAAAACAAGAAGAAAAAATAAAATCTCACTTGAGTGGGTACATTCTGAGGGCAATGTCCATTCCTGGGCAGTAAGACAGGAGGGCAGCCAACGCCGTCTCTTCAAACAGGCCAAAGACCAGGATTTTGTTTCTTGTGGACAAAACACAAAGAAATGAAGTCATCTAGGAAAGCTGAGGTGCATTTCAAACAGGGAACAGGAGGCACTTCTTCACACAAAGGATTGTGAAGCAGGAGGAGGCAGGCTGTGAACTAATTCAGCAATTTGTTCAACTGTGCACACATCCCAGAGGGTGTTAATGGATTACATTCCTATAATATTTCATAAAAAATAAACATGCAAATAAAATATTTGGAACAAATGAACAAAGGAAACTAGCATATGCATTCGTTTTTTTTCCAGCATCTTTGTACTGCTGAAGATTCCTTACATTATTAAGACCAGTATTAATAAACTTACCTCAGTCCCTGTTGGAAGACTGAGTTTCTTCTTGTTTTACAGATGATTAACACCATCCACTGGCAAATCACAATGGTAACAAAGAAGGCTGTTTGGCAGGTGTACTCAACAATCTTTCTTTGCTCATAGGTCTATATAAAAATGAAAAACAGAAGAGGACGAGAAATGTTATATGGGTTTGTGTTTTTTTCCATATTTTGAGCTCAAAGAGTTGCTCATTTACAAGGAATGATTGATCATACTGACCCACTGCTGTCCATAGCTGTCTTCCAAGTCATTGATATATTTGTCATCCCAGGTAACACGGATTCCCATAAGCCTTGACGGAAGAAAACCATATTCACCAAGAATGACGAAAAAGGTGAAAAATCCTCCCAAGGCTTGAATCATTCCTAAGAAAAAGAAGATTTTTTAAATTTATTTGGTTGACAGTTTTATTGGATGTCATCTACTTTTGAACCCATTTATAAAGGGTACAATGGAAATGCTCCATCAAACATCGAGTTTAATTTCCAGAATCCTAGTAAGTGTTCCTCACTGTTGTGCATTAAAGTACTTTTGAAAGAACAAAAAGGGTCAATTGCACATTCTTAGCAGGCTTTTGTCATTGAATGTATATATATAGCTGCATTTGTCTGTCAAAAGCAGGTTTAAAAGTTCATTGAAAATTTACTGTGGATTTATTGGAGATCTATCATAGCTCACCTCTGATAAATTTGTTTTGTTTGCTATTAATGTAACTTTGTCTGTGTGAGGAGGAACTAAGCTTATTATTTCACAATCTTTAACTCACATTGATCAAAATCCTCAAAAAGCCATGGTGACAAGTCAAGGTAAAGCATACGTGGATAAGCAATATGAAATGTTGTTGTAGCTAAACCATCACATTTACCAGTCAAATTTAATTGATTGGTAACATCCATAAAGCTAATGTTCTTTTTGTATTGCATTATACAGATCTACTAGCATTTGTTGTATTTTATATTCTAAAATTTGAGTTTCCACATTTTTTCCACAAAGAAAAGCACAGAGTAAAAAGAATCCAATAGTGTGACATGTCTAAGACATTTGCACAGCGGTGTGTGCCTGGAGCTTCACATCACTATCAGTAAACAACAGCTTTGTTCATAATTCGCTGTGAAGTATACCTGTCTCTCTTATCTGTAACACGCTATGAAGTACCTTCCCAATTTTCCTCATTAAAAAAAGTGGTATTGCCATTTAAATTGACTTACTACAGAATACAGAACAAATAAAAGTAGTGCTATTATACTTTGACTTTTTCTTGATAATACTTTAAAAAATCAATTGTTTTGTTCTCTTGGTTTTGCTAAAATAAAGCTCTTACCGATTTGACCATAGGCCATACTGATCAATCTTTCATTCACCAGCTTGTCGGTGAAGATATTCCTGGGGTTTCTCTTCATGATGTCACTCTCTGCTTTTTCATAGGCATAGGAGATCGCAGGGATCTTGGACATACAGACACATTTAAAAGCCTGTTATTAAATCCTGTGCACAAATGCTGCACTTTTTATCTTCATTCCCACAATAACAGTCTGGACTAAGACACTGTAAGTGGGATTTGTGCCTAAACCGGTCAGACCTAAGTTCTGGTACCTCTTAATTTGAGTCATTTCTCCACATCTAAGACGGTCACTATTTTATCTTCTTCACTCATCTATTACATTTTCATGATGAAATAACTCTGCTCTGAGAATACCTTAGATACAGACTAGAAGAGTAACAAAAATGCAACTGGATGTAGAGCCTCACTTTTTGGTTTGCTGCTGCTTGTATGACAGTACACGTTTGCTTCTAAAATCTGACTACAGTGTTCTGATTATATAACTGTACATATCACGATGGGTTTAAGTCATTATTTCATTGAAATAATGAAAGATATTAGAATTTTATCAGTGAAATGAAATGATCTATTTGTATCTGCAAGGTTACCACAAGGCTATACAGATAACATGTGTGTTCTGTTTGCACTGTTGAGACTTGATCATGATCACAAAGCCTAGCTCCTAGGCTAGCAGCTATTTCAGCAGGGCCAAATGCCTGGGTCACCTGCTGCAGCTAAAATCCACACTATCTTTTACCGGGACGAAGTCACGTTCTCACCTATACAGTATAGTCTACAGGGAGATCATACAGTCAAAACTTAATTGCCCCAGTGACAGGAAGAGTAGACTTATCAGTGTATGAGTATAGGAATTGGAGTTAAATTGATTTTTAGTTACTTTGTTAACATGTTATCAACAGTGGCAGCTTGAAACTGCATTGAAAGAGAGTTACATTGAAGTTAAGCTCTATTGAATGCCCAGAGCACGGTAAAGGTGCCGTTCTTCTGTTATGCATTGCACAGTACACCCCCTCTTTGCTGTTTACATGGAACTCTGGCTCCTTGTGACTTCCAAATTAATTTTAAAAGTATTGGTATTAGTAAACAGTACCCTTTGCTAAATAAGTACAGTGTTGCAACTGTGGACCATGAAGAGTGGTTAGCCTTTGAGGGTTCTGGAACGTTTATATATGAAATCCCAATTCCAGCCACAGTATTATAATTAATAATTGTACATGAGATACTAGAATTGTGGTTTGCCATACTGTGTGTGTAACCGTTCCAATTGAGTTTTAAGAAGAAAAAAGACAGTCCTTGAACAAATGAATTAAATGTAGCTGCTCTCACCAAGTCAGTGCCCAAGTCAATGCACAGAATGGTGACAGTTCCCAGTGGCAGAGGAATGTTGGCAATGATGTAGAGCAGGAAAGGTGTGATCTCAGGAATGTTACTGGTCAGGGTGTAGGCAATGGACTTCTTCAGGTTGTCAAAGATCAAACGGCCTAGTAGGAAAAGAAGCAATTTTTAAACAAGCAAAAGGAGGACTTTGGGCAATTTCACATGGAATCTAACATTACAGTCCCAGAAACTTTGGGACACACTTGCTTTACCTTCTTCTACACCGGTCACAATGGAAGCAAAGTTGTCATCCAGCAGGATCATGTCAGCAGCCTGTTTGGAGACGTCTGATCCAGCTATGCCCATAGCAACACCGATATCTGCTTTCTTCAGGGCAGGGGAGTCGTTGACTCCGTCACCAGTCACGGCTACAACGGCCCCCTGTAGATGGACAGGGGATTTACTGGTTTGTAAGAAAGCCTTACGTAGGAAGATGGCCAACTTGCTTTGGTTTATCAAATTCTTTCATTTTAATACAGAAATTAAAAAAAAACAACTGACTGGAATAAAATGAAAAAGTCTGATATGTTTTCAAGCCTGTTATATAATACAAGATGTCAGATCTCTTCTTATGCCTTATACACCACAGTATTGTGTATAACCCAATCTAGGGTGTTTAGTCAAGGCTAATGACTATTGTCAGGACAGGAGTAACTCAATACTGCGCAGCACCTGTCGTTGGCAGCCCTCCACGATGATGAGCTTCTGCTGAGGAGAGGTTCGAGCAAACACAATCTCAGTGTGGTGTTTCAGGATGTCATCCAGCTGCTCGGAAGTCAGATCCTTCAGGTCACTGCCGTGAACTACACAGGCTTTGGCATCTCTATAAAACAAGGTAATTTAAAAAATGTAATTAAAGCGGCATGGAAGTTCATTTTTAATTATTCCAAGGCTCTTGTGTTTTACGCCTAATGTAATATACATTGCTCACAACGCTAACAGTCAGAAATGCATCAGTTCCTTCTCTCAATTTGTTACACATGTACTGTATTACATAAATAAATCAAATTTCCACATTTCCCAAACAAAATAAACTCTTTAGTCAACATCTGGGAAGTGATTTTTCCTAATACTGTACCTACATCCTGTAAGTTAGTATTACTGCAACGAAATGAAGGAAACCTGAGCCACAGAAGCTTAATGTCTCTGGTATTATACCTCGGGTTGACTTCAGCAACAGGGATTTTCAGACGGGCTGCAATATCTTCCACAGTTTCGTTGCCCTCAGAGATGATCCCAACACCCTTTGCAATGGCCTTGGCCGTAATGGGGTGGTCACCAGTAACCATGATAACCTGAAAGCAATAAAGGGAAGGATGACTCCAGATTGCTTAAGACAACCAACATGACAGAATGCTTATATTAAAAAAGCAAGTTACCTTAATTCCTGCACTCCTGCACTTGCTAACAGCATCAGGCACAGCAGCACGGGGAGGATCAATCATGGCCATCAAGCCCACAAAACAGAGGTTCTCAGTTGGGAAGTTCACCTCATCGGTGTCAAACTCAAACCCTCCAGTAAACTGGTCATCAGGCAGGGCAAAGTGGCAAAATCCTGCAGGAAAGTAAATGGAACATGAGGAACCAGCAGATTCAGCAGCAAATCTCCCTCAAGAAAAGAAGTCTCAGAAAACAAGACAGAATGTTCTTTCTTATTATTGTGTGTTCTAGAGTTGGTTTTTAAAGTCCAGTTAGGGAAAGAATTACTGTGTCCCAGCCCTGGAATCACAATTCCACCAGTTTTTAGAACACACACTATGGCAATTTGACTAATACAGAATTTTTACTTCTTTACTTTTAACATTTTTTAACACTGTGACAATTTTACTTGCCACTTATTTGACTTATTTACTTGCCAATTTTTCTTATTACTATAAAACCTATTAAAACTATTATTACTATTAAAACCTATTACTTCAGCCCAGCCTACTCACACCTTACATCATAGTTCGTTGCAACTATGGCTGCTGGTGCTGCTGTACATGCCATTGTGTGTCTCAGTGTTGTCTTTCCAGGTACACTGTAGATACATTTGTTCTGACCAAACTATCCTATTCTCCTCCCCACATGTCTGGATGGTGCCTGAGTTAAATACTGCATTACTGCTATGGATTCAAAAGGGACATAGCGAATACAGCTATCGTTTAGGAGGATTTTCTGGTCTACAGAGATTATTTAGAATAATATAATCTTAGCATGTCTAGAGGGGTTGGGGAGCCAGTTGATCTTGGACCTCTAGAGGTTTTTCCTGACAGAGGAGTTTTTGGTTCGTCTCCTCTGTTGACTTCTGGCTTGTTCTCTTTCTGTAGTGTAATGTCATGCATTGTCACACAACGTTCTTAAGTGCCTTGGGGCAACCTTGTTGTTAAAGGTGCTATGTAAACATAAATTGAATAAAATTGAATTTTACTTCTAAAGTGTAAGTAGTGCAGTTCTGCCTCTGCTGGGATTCAATCTTATCTACTTACAGACAACACAGGGCCAAACCTCAGTTAAGAATTTTGCTTTATGAAAAGATTGGATTTTCTGCAGATGGTAAATAGAACAGTATCGAAGTTACAAACATGTCACCATCTGTATTTGCTGAGGAACCTACTTACAGTAGGAGCCAACATTTCCAAGTTGAACCACTGCACTGTGGCTGTGCACTTACCAAGCACTCTCTCTCCCAGGCCACCGAGCTCAAGGTAGGCATTCTGGAAAGCATCTTTCATCTCATCCTCCAAAGGCTGTTCCTTGCCCTGCATCAGGATGGTGGAGCAGCGGTCGAGAATTCTTTCTGGGGCGCCCTTCATCACCAAGAGGAATCGGGATTCGGATGGATTTGGGTTCTTATGGATAGACAGCTAGAGACAAAAACCATTATGTGTTAAGTACACATGAGAGTCTGTCCAGATTTACAGTATACAAAAATTGTCATGCTTATCCATGTTTGGAGAGCTGGCCTTTGTGGTTTGCCTTTAGGCACCTGGATTAATGTTTGTACCTGGTACTTGTTGGTTGAGTTGAAGGGGATTTCTGCCACTTTGGGATACTGATCTCTCATTCCTTTCACAGACCCACAGCACATCTCAATACATTTCAGCAGGGCAGCTTCTGAGGCATCACCAGCAACATCTCTCTATAGAAACAAACATAACGAACTTCCATTGCAAATGCAAAAATCCATACTGGGAATGGGAGTCTAATGCATAGAGTAAAAAAATATTCATTATGGATTTTTGTGATATTTTACTGGGATACCATTTTTTAGAGGGACTTTTTTTAATTGTGTAATATGTGATACAGTATATTCTAGCACAAACAATAGTACTCTAAAGTAAAAATATGTCTATATATCAATTAACATGAAAGCATTGAATTATACATGTTTTTTAAATATAAGACAATACATAAAAACTTAAAAAACAGGACTTGTTCACTACATACTAAGTATGTATTCACAAAGACAGTGTTACCTTCAGCACTGGTAAATTCTCCTGGTCAGACATAAACACAGCACGGTTACACAACCCAGCAATACGGGCCAGAGCAGGCCAGGATGGGGAGCTTTTGTCAAAGGAGATACCTGTAAGAATCCAGACATGAAGAACATTACAAAATCCAATTCATCTCTAGAAGGTTTCTTGGTCAATTAAAAGTCATTGTGTTACATTTTGTTTTTCTAGGTGGCCAATTAGTTAATTGTATGTTCAAAAAAACGATGGAACATGACATCAGCAGCTACAATCCTTATGGTGCTATGAACTTCCAGCGGGCAGGAGCTTCCAGAGAGTACCTGTTTGACTGAATATGACTGGATGGAATCGGTCAACTGGAGAGATCTTTCTGTGATCTGCTTTTAACATAAAAATACTTAAAGCTCACAATGCAAGAAGAAGTGGATGGCTTCACAATTCATAGCTTTGAGGATGAGGTCTTGTTGATTGAAAAAATATATATTTTTTAATTATCTGTTGAAATGAAAGTTAACTTTTTTCTTACCGCTTTGATCCTCTGTGGTGTCAACTTTGTGAATTTGGTTATCAAACCACAAATGAGCAACAGTCATTCTGTTCTGGGTCAGGGTTCCAGTCTTGTCCGAGCAAATGGTAGAGGTGGACCCCAGAGTCTCCACAGCTTCCAGATTCTTCACCAGGCAGTTCTTACGGGCCATACGTTTCGCTGTGAGAGTCAGACAGACCTGAGGGAGAGGGAAAGATTAACAAGTATAACTATTGTAAACGCATAAAGTAAGCAAAGATTAGTCCAACTGAAGCTCTACATGGTCAATTCCTTATTTTAAAAATAGAGAATGGACTCAGATGATCAGATGTCAAGTTATTACAATACGTTATACATTACATGTTCATTAAACAATGTTACAGTTTGTCTAATTTTCTAAATGCCAAAATTAAACTTAAATAGAGAATCAATTTGTCTTACAAATTTAAAACAAAGAGAAAATTTGATTAAATGATCTTCAGTGTCAATGAGATCTTGCCATTATTGGTTCAAAACAATAAATATTTTCTTCCTTAAATATCTTTTTATGCCAACAATATTTTCCTATTTACGTTTCATGGTATTTATTGAGAAAATGTTATTCTTACAGTGACAGTAGCCAGGAGACCTTCAGGTACATTGGCTACAATGATTCCAATCAGGAAGATGACGGCCTCTAGCCAATTGTAGCCAAGGATCAGGGAGAGGATGAAGAAAGAGACCCCCAGGAACACCGCCACCCCAGTGATGATGCGGATGAAGTGCTCTAATTCAATAGAAATAGGTGTGCGACCAACTTCCAGACCAGAAGCAAGAGTTGCAATACGTCCCATCACAGTATTGTCGCCAGTGTTGATGACAATCCCACGAGCAGTGCCTAAAAGAAGAGAGATACACAAAAACTAGTAATACAAAAAATCCTCATTCTTTCTTGAGTCCGACCCTGTAAAGTAATGTAACCTGTAATAATACCCTGTATTAATGAATGCCTTATAAATAGGATGCACAGTACATGGTTTGCTGTAGAATGCAGTTTTATTGCAATGTTTAAAATAAACTGGAAATGAGAAATAACTTTTAGGTGCATCACATGCTTCTCAAAATATGTAAATAACTTAATAAAATAGTTCAAGAATGACACTGGATAAAAACCCGCACCTTCAACACAGTTGGTAGGGAAGAAGGCAATGTTCCTGGTCTCAAGAGGATTTTCATTGGAGAAGTCAGGAGATCTGGTCTGAGGTTCAGACTCACCAGTTAGGGAAGAATTGTCAACCTGCAGAGAAAGAAATCTGTAATTTTACCAACGTTTGGAAAGGACAGCTACTGTATGTCCGATGGAGGCGTCACTTCTTTTGTCACACAGAATTAGCCAACCTTGCAGCCGTGAGCCGAGATGATTCTCAGATCAGCAGGTATCCGGTCTCCCCCCTTCACTTCCACCAGGTCTCCAACAACAACCTCCTCCGCATGGATGCTCTTCTTTTCACCGTCTCGGATAACCAGCGCTTGCTGAAAACGGACAAATTAGTTATACTGCATATTCCATTTCTTTTCAAATAAGGTAAGGGTTTGCCTGTGTAATTAACCAGTTGGATACATTATGCATCATTGTTTCATTTAGTCTCACTTCACTAGGACAATTAGTCACATGGTATAAGATGTGTCTGTGGATTAAAGACATTCCATTACCAAGTATTATTGTGAATTTTCTTCCAGGAACAAATATATTAAGCATGACTGTCATGGCTTGACTTTAAATAGATGAAAAGAAATACCTGTGGAACCATTTTCTTGAATGAATCCATGATCCTGGAGCTTTTAGCTTCTTGGTAATATGAGAAGAAGCCACTAATGATCACAACAAAAGTAAGTGCAATTCCCAGGTACAGCTGCAGGAAAATAGAAAAAGACACTTGTCGTCACCAAGAACTATGTTATACGTGTCTTTAAAGTTTCAGACCTGTACCTATGTGCTTACATTGTCATTGACGGGTTCTGGGTCTGTGGCTTGTTGAATTGCATAAGCAAAGTAACAGAGGAAGGCTCCAGTCCACAGAAGCATGGAGAAACCGCCGAACATCTGCTTGCAGAACTTGACCCACTCGGGGGTGGTGACAGGAGGAGTCAGGACATTGGGGCCATCTCGCGCCAGGATCTCAGAGGCACGGCTGATGGTTAAACCCTGAAAAAATTCAATCAATCAATCAATCAATCAATCAATCAACCAACCAGTCAATCAACCAACCAACCAACCAACCAAACTTTCTTTTCTAAAACTCAAAGATTCTCAATTAAAATTTGTTTGGTAAACTTAATATTTTTAAGATATCATATGTACCAACATGTCCAAACCTACAGCACAAGCTCAGTTATGTTCATAATTCAGTAACCTTTAATTAAAGTTTAATTGAAGGATTCAACAGTGGGATAAAACCCACCAGGTTTGAGAGCTATACCTCTTCAGATATGAATGGATTAGAATTAAATTTTGGATTAAAAATGTGTGAAAATATATATACAATCTACCAATACAATGACTGAAATGTGAAATGTTCAGTGATAAAAGGTACTGAAAGGATTACCCCAGTGATCGGAGGAGAGCAGAACAGAAACCTACCCGTTCGAGATCAGTGCCATACTTCCGCTGGATCTCATCGAACGCTAGCTTATGATCATCCTAAATAAAATAGTTAATAAAATTCCTGAGTACAAAAGGTCTTTAATCAAATAGTATTGTGACAAAATATTAATATTTCAATATTTACAAGATGTTAACCATTATATTTTTTCAGATTAAACGAAAGTGATAACAAGAGGTTGTACTGATAAATATTTTTTTTTGTATAGGATATATATGTTTTAGTTAAGAAAATAAGTGCTAAATGTTTAAGATTTTTGCAACACACCAGTTAAGATTTTTTCCATATTCACGATTTACCATTGTCATGTTTCTTTACTTAAGGAAACATGACTCTTGGGGAAGCTCAATGATTCATTCGTTTAAAAAAGGCCAATAACTGATCATGCGGCATGCCAAATATGGTTGAACCCCAGATCCACATTACCACTACTGTCACTCTGCACAGACCATGTTATAGGTTCATTTCCCCCCCTTGAATTACTGCATTTTACACTCTTACTCTCAATGTAAAAGAGAAAATACTATCTACAAGTGAAGAGTAACTTTACAAAAACAATGTAAATATCAGATACTCACCAAATCAACTTCCTTCTTCAGTTCTTCTATGTCTCTATGTCCCTTCTTCTTTCCTTTCTTCTTCTTTCCTTCTTTCTCTGATGTTGGAGTTGCCTCATACTTGTGTCCTTCCTAAGACATTGTGGAGATTATTATTGTCACTACTGCACTCAGCGGGAAGACAGAATGGTTAGCAATGCAAAAGGTTCAATGATCATTTGAAGAGGAAACCTGAATTGGACCCCTTCATACAAATTCAATTTATGTCCTCAGGATGAAATTTGTGACCGCTTTGCACCAATTGAGAGATTATACTACAATGTACATGTGCAATGGGTCCAACCAACTCTTATCCTTATCTTTTCTTATCTTATCAACAGTTTGTAAAGAACAATTAATGGATTGTAAGCAAAAGATGTCAGATACATAAATACAGAAACCCTGCTTATGGTACTGTATATCAAGCCTATTGGATTGTCATAAGGCTATACCCTTAGAGGACAATAAATATGTTAACTGAGGTTAAGATGCCAAAGATTCAAAAGTTAAATTCATTCTTCATACTGCAAATACACCCATCTTCTCAAATCTGTGACTACGCTGCTGTGTCAAGTGGTAAATTAGACAGTGGTGAGATTAACTCTTTGGCTGCTTCATCAGGTCTGTTGCCCACCATTGTCATTTAAACAGAGTCCAGTACCACACTTAAGAGATCACTTTATTGGCCATATACAATTTCTTGCATTAAGAATTTGCCTTTTCGCATACCCCAACTTGCTCTCCATGAGACACACAGACAGGGAGAGAAGCCTGGGGTCAGAGCGCAGGGTCAGCCATTGATACAGCACCCCTGGAGCAGTTGGGGTGAAGGGCCTTGCTCAGGGGCCCATCAGAGTAGGATTCCTCTGCCGACAATCTTCTAGCCACAGGCACAGAGCCTTAGCCACAGTGCCACTGCTCCACTTTCTTTTGCAGCGTGATGAGCAGATATGTGCTGTTTTAACACAAAACTACACTGAAAATACCTAAGGATAGAGTACATAAAAATACTTACTAAAAATCCCATGTTTGCTGGCTTTGTGTGGGAGTCTTCTTATTTAAACAAACAAACAAACAAACAAACAAACAAACAAACAAACAAACAAACCAATAAATAAATAATTTGGATTTCCTCCTGAGTAGGCTGTGCGGTGTTTCCAGCTGTTCCCAGGGTGAGTGTGCCTCTTCAGGAGGACACAGCCAGCCTTCCCTGCCTGTCTTCCTCAGTCCTGCACCTTTATATCCTCCAGCCAGCGTGATGTCACGGATCCTGACATGAGCAGTGGGAAGACTCTTGGCCCTTATTTACTCAGGTCAACTTCAGCCTTGGTTGTGCCTTCAATTTAGTGTAAATTGAACCGTGAAGGTAGTTTAGCAAAGTGGTTTGCCATCATCTGTCTGCCTTTGTAAATACAGGATTCAGTATAGAAATTATTTTGCTCAAACTGCAAAGTTTTGTTTTATCTGCAAAAACTACATCTGAAGAATTTTTCTTGACATCCATATTTCAGCACTGGAAATGAATAATATTGACACTTACTGGTGTTTCACATGGACGTGTTAGTAATTTCTTGATATAAATTAAGGTTTGCGATAAATATTCTTAAACAATTATAGCACCCAATCACCATACCCGAATATTGTCATAAATAAAGAATTGCTAAGAAATTAATTCTCCAGGGAAAAATGTCCTCTGAAGTATGCAGTTTAAAAAGAAAATCATCACTTATTTGACTTAGGTCTAGATTATATTTCTCTATAAGGAAGAATTATTTAATTTTTATCATTTTAAGGTTAGGTGATTATTGACAAAACCCTAGTTCTGTCAACTAAATTCCTTAAGTTATGGTGTATTGATAATATGTAACATTTTGATACCACAAATGTATACATTGTTTGTGAAATTAAGTATCTTTACAGGTACATGTTTAGACAAAATGCATACTATCTATTCTAGAGGCTGGCAGAGGTCATGTGGATTCTTTTATATTCGATCAATAAAAGGTTTAGATTTAATGCATGTTAAAATATCTTAGATGCTCCCATATCAGTAGGTTCAAATCTCTGTCTAAAATGTGAACGGAGTACAAAAATAATAAATCTGCTTGGGCATCTGAAGCTATAAATAGAGCTATTCTGTAATAAAGTATCCAAGAGGATGCCATCTCTCAATTTAGTCTCATTGAGTAGTTTCTGTTCTTTTTCCATTTCCTTTGCAGATAACAATATATTTTTGCAATTGCTTAGAACAAAGGAGCCCCTATTTGCTTCATCCGAGTCATGTTTGTTTAGCAAATGTGTCTTTCTACAAAGCCACAGCCACAGCTGAACGGAGCCAGCCCAGCCTCGAACTTCACCGCAGCTGCATGAGGTGACCTTATAAGGGCCATAGAAGAGGCTACAGCTGAGATGAGGATGGCTATTTGGTTGGTAGTAGTTCATTGATCTACAGATTTCATCCAGTGTTTTCTTTTAAGAGGTCAGTATTTTAGCTTCAACAACTGGACTTGTTGACATGTTGTTTGTTGCAGGTCTTGTGTGTGAAAAATGCCTCCTTCTCAGAGGTTTAAATGCACTTCCACAGACAGGAGTTTTCCACTCTCTCTTCTGTTATATGCTATTGATCTAATGATCTTGAAAAAGTAATTTGGGTTCATTTAGTCAACGCCTTTGAACATTTTGAAAACTTAAATCAAGTCCCTTCACATTATTATCTGCTCAAGAATAAAAAGGGGCTTGTTCCTTTTGCCTGACAATGTGTGATATTTAAGCCTGAGAATGTATCTGAGTGCTCTTCTCTAGACTGAATGTTACAAATAACATCCCTTGATTTAAAATCTGCACCTTAAATTATATATCCAAACATTTTTTTCTGCCTCAGTTATTGCTTCCTCACATAGTGTAGATGATGTACAAATGACATGTAGTGTAAGCAATTTTCATGAATGGAGTTTTAAACACAGGATGAGGTCAAAGCCTAATATCACCCACTTCCCTTTACCTACATATTCAGATTATTTTTCTTCCTCACTCTCTTGAAAGTTTCACCCTTACAGAACACTCTGATGAACCCCTTGTGGGGTGCCAGGGAAGCTACCCCAGAAAAGCGTGTTTTCAAATCATGCCTCTTCTCTGCCTTCATTAGATTTTGACAGAACTCCTGAAGTGTTTTCTTCAAGTTCAGTGTTGTCTGTTCTTTATGCATAGCTAAAGCTTTTGCTGTCTATGTCAAGCACTCTATTTTTCCATTTACAGGTGTTTGCATAGTCCTGAATTCTACCAAAATAATTGTAATACCAGAATGTGGGTAAATGTATGTTCATATGTGACTGCACATATTTCCATGTATATAAAGGACTATAGAAAATTTGTGATAACTGTTATCATTTGTATTAAAACTATTTTTAAGAAGCTGAGGTTTGTAACTAAGAAATTAGAAAAGATCAAATGTTTACTGAGCGTGGAAGGTGTAAGGAAGTTAGTTGATCCTCAGTACTATTTGTTTGCTCCACACCACAATATAACACTAAGATTTGTACTTGACTTCCTTTGACTGTTGAAA